GTGTATTTTAAATCTTTAATTTATTTTCATATAACTGGTCCGGCATAGTAGCATACCGTACCCCTTTTTTTAATCTTCAAGTGATTTTCCTGATGCATATTCTATCCTCTTTTTTTACCAAGTTCGTGTTTATTTTTTCTTTCTATTTTTAAATTTCATTTTTTTCATATAAAAGAATACAGTTATTGTGTATTTTAAATATTTATTCTATTTTCATTAATTTGTACCTTGAAGACATAAACATGAACTTTTTCCAAAATTTATGTGGATTTAAAAAAAATGTCAGAAAAATTTATGTATCTTCATTCAGGACCACAAACACGCGCAATTATTGTGTATCTTCATTGTATATTTAAAATACACAAATATTTAAAAAATTGGCAACGTGTATTTTTGAATTATATTCAGCATGGTGTCACAAAATGGTTATATTTTTGCCCAATTATATGCCCAACAACCGGTTTTTATATTAAAGTAAATTTAAAAAAAACATGTTTACCTCTTCAAGTTACTCAATAATGAAAACACAATGAATATTAAAATACACAATAATTGTGTATTAGTAATTATTGTAATTTTTTCTTACATTTCTTTTTTTAAACTGGAAAAGATAAAAAGAAAACCGGTCATTGGGCATATAATAGGGCAAAATAATAACCATTTTCCAAAACCATGCTGAACATTATTCAAAATATACTTTGTTACTTTTTACAATTATTATGTATGTTAATACAATGAGGATACAAAATAATGCGTGTTTGTGGTCATGAATGAAGATACATAAATTTTCTTATAATTTATTTTATTTGAATCCATATAAATTTTAGAAAAAGCTAATGTTTATGTCTTCAAGGCACACAATAATGAAAATAGAATAAAGATTTAAAATACACAATAATTGTATATTTATAATTATTGTATTTTTATATGGGGAAAATAAACATAAACCTGGGGAAAAATAAAAAGAAAACCGGTAAGAAATGCACAGGAAAATCGCTTGAAGATTCGAGAAAAAAGAAGAAGAGATACGCTACTGGGCCGGCCCTGTTATAAGCGAGCGATATGTGCAATTGCTCCAATTTGTTCTTGCTGCCAATTGAAAGTCGTCGACATGTCGGCCTGGTGGCTACCTCGGTTGCTCTCTTACGCAGTGGTTTCAAGTTCGATCCTCGGCGTAGCATTTTGTTTTTCCTTTTTTTCTCTCTCCTATGCTGACATGGGAGGCCACGCATCTACTGTACACTGACGTGGCACCTGGCTCGGCGCGAGGCGTAGAGTGAGACGTAGCCAGGACCGTATTGGAGCATATCCTCGTATTTGAGGACCGTAGTGGAGCATTCCGCGAGTCCCGGGACCGTTGTGTTAGATGCCGGAGAGTACGAGGACCGTATGTGTAATTATCTCTCCTTTGTCCATCATGGAGGCAGCGTGGAAGGTGACAGCGACGACCACCGGATGCTACCCGTGAGCTCTGATAGCTGCTTCTCCAACACATAACATGAGTCGTCGGCACAAGGCCAAATTCTGACACCGAGTCAAATGATATGAACATGATAACTCTGAACCTACTATATGCAGAAACAGCTTGAGCACGTCTCTCGTCCCCGTCGGGGCGGTCGTGTTATTGAAGAAAAAAGAGACACTTTTCATGCCCTCTGCAGATGTCCTCATGCGGTCGCCTTGTGGCAAGCTATGGCGAGGCAATGGAATATTTCGGACATCTGTCGAGTCATGCACACTGGGCCAGAGTGGCTTTTCATGTGCTCGCGGACTTGTCACCAGAGGAGCGGATGTATACGCTCATGACGATTTAGCGTTGTTGGCATGTGAGGAATGAGATCGTCAACGACAAACGATCACCGCCGGTCGAAGCCTCGACCAGATTCCTAACCAGCTATATCAACTCATTGCTAGCCATCCAGGCGTACCCTCGTGGAGATCACATCAAAGGAAAAATGGTGGCTGCGCCTTTGTACAGCAGGAAATTGTTATCACATGTTGAGCGTGAGAAGCCATCATCACTTGGATGGGAGGCATCGCCGGCCGGCTGGGCTGCGCTCAACATCGACGGGTCCTTTTCTGCCAAGGACGAAACTGCAGGAGCTGGCATGGTCCTCCGGGATGAACATGAAGATATTATTTTTTCGTCTTGCCGTGAGTTAAGGCAGTGTGCATCACCACTAGAATCTGAACTTGCTGCATGTTCAGAAGGCATCTCCCTGGCTACCCAGTGGTCTGAGCTGCCTTTTGTGATTCAAACGGACTGCGCAGAAGTGGTAAAACTAATTGAAGGAGGTATTGGCGACCGATCGGAGCATATGATGTTGATCCGCGAGTTTACTTCGCGTCTTCAAAAACATGGTAAATTCTTAGTTAAGCTTGTGAGGCGTGAACAAAACACTGTTAGTCATTTTTTAGCGAACTTTGGTCGAATAAAGAAGCGCACTGCGGTATGGCTTCATTCTGGACCGGACGAGGTTTCGGACCTATGTAATGCAGACATGGCTGCCACTTAATTAATGAATTCCCTTTTTCCCCGAAAAAAGAAGAAAAAAGAGAAAGGAGTCGGGACAATGTACCTCATACTCAACACGGAGGGGAAATAAAGAAGTCAAAGGAAATATGTAGGGGAAATAAAAAAGTCAAAGGGAATATGTATTATACTATGTGACCCTTGCCACTAGGCTATTGCCCTATTTCAGAAATTATGGAGACACCTAACTAGACGTATCTCCTGCTATTGATCGTTGTCTCTCAGTAATACCGTATACATATGTAATATCTCCGGAAACAAGTGCACGCGATGGCCGACCTAGCTCAGTGGTAGAGCACGTGGCTTTTGAGCGCGTGGCTTTTAACCACGTGGCCGTGGGTTCGATCCCCACGGTCGGCGCAAATACTAAGAAGTCTAGGCCTGTAAGGGTTCCATTTTTCTGGTTTTTTTACCTCTGCTGTAAAACTGACACGTGTGCTGTTGGGTTTTAATTGTGTGCGTATTATTTTTTTAGGGGGAAAGGTCTGCATGTTTGCATTGGTTTTGGAGTCCACTGCTTTGACGGTCTCTTGCCGCTTTGACTGCTTCTAACGTGGGGACGTGTTGATTCTTGTTTTGACCATGTGTCTTCTTGTTTGCCACGTACCAGTTTTGTAGCATGTTCTGGTTTGTTTGTTTGCCACGTTAGTCGGTTTCTGGGCTCTTCCAATGGCCTGCGTGTGTGTTTTCTCTTTCTTTTTCCTCTCCCTTCTCCATCTGGACTCCCCTGAAGCCTCAATCTTTACCGCATATATATATATACAGGCTGCAGCTCCTCCACCGCCGTACGGGCCTATAAAGAGGCTCTCTTCATCCCCTGAAGGTCCCTACCTCGCCTCCTCCCAGCCCTCCCAACTCATCTCCGCCGTCCATATACCCATCTCCTCTCCGCGTGACCCAGATGAGGAACCATCGATGATGGCGTACGGGAAGCGCGCATGGAGGGCGTTGCCGAGGCGGCGGCGCCGGCGACGGAAGCTACCTCTACCGACAACAGCACGAATCATCAAGGGCCGCGGTGCTGCCATCCCAGTTGTCGGCGTCCTCTTGTGCGCCCCGGCCACATAGGAGGACTGCCACAACTGTTGTGGATCCTCATCGTTCGTGTTGTGCAAGGACGGGGGTCGTCCTCGTTGTGCGAGGGTAGCACATCGGGAGCTGCAACAACTAGGTTGCCGCACTCCTCGTCGACGCCCTTCTGAGCCTGTTGAACGCCGCGGTCAACGACTACGTGGGAAGAGCTGCGACATGCTGCTTCACCTTCAATGGCTTTTCGCGCCGGTACTTACCCTGCTTCAGCATCCCTTCCTTCCTGTTCGTGGTCTTAGAATAATCAGACTAACGCAGCAGGGTAGATACATATTGCGAACTGCTTCTACTACCTCGATAGTCTGATTTTTGGTCCCCTTTTTTTCTAGATAGAATATTGATTTTTTGGGTCCCCTTTTACCACTCAAGTACTGAATGTCTGATACTAATATGTGGTAATGTGATTTTTTTGGGGTCCCCTTTTACAACTCAAGTTCTGAATGTCTGATACTCATATGTGGTAATGTGAATATCTTCACCATCATCATCATGTACCAAAATGAACAACTATAACGCCCTCAAGTTTTGCATTCATTTTATTGAGAAGATCCAATGGCTGTGAACAGAAAATTCTAAAAGAAATAATTATGTTAACTTTGATCGCTAGCAGCTGTCATTCGTGAGTGTTATTTGTATTGCTTTTTTTTACTGTTCTTGCTATTAATTCTTTCATACAGGTCAAAAGACTGCAGGCATGCAGAATACATCTCTGAAGGACCTAGCCATGACTATTACTGTGCATGTGTGAACTCCTATGATATGGGAATTTGGAAGCCAGGAAACATGGGCACTATTTCAGCTGGATTTTGTTGTAGTAGATTGCCATGTTAGGCTGAACAAAGGGCAATATAGTGTTTTGCCTTCTATCAAAAGTTCACCAAGTTTGTTACTCTGGCAGAAAACTATTATGGAGGGGGACGTGTGGTGCAGAACCGAATAGACAAAGAACATGCTCAAAGAGGGCTCTATCTATCGAATCTCAATTTTTGATGTTTAAGTGCCAAAAAGATATACAAAGCAGTGGATTTTCCTACAAAGATTTGCTTCACCCAGAGAACATTGCCTATGAAAAGGCCTCAACCAGACAATTTTCCCAGATTTGCCTACAGTATGCATCCTTTTACGGTGTTGGAGAATAGAGCAAAATATACCTCTGTCAAGTAAATGTGTTGACAAGTACTTAAAATGTAGTGTACACAAGCAAAAATAAAGGTCGATGCGTACATATTTTTGGAATCCATAGATATCGTTGGTTTGATAACATTGGTTAGTGAGATTCTACCCCTGGCAGGTACAAACAAGGGAGACAGATTTATATCGGTGATGGAAAGTACAATTATTTGGAAGCATTGTCTAACATAGGCATAATAAAGGTTAAATGACTATAAACTGGATAATTCCTGCAGCCAATCTGCTGTTGGAAGATTCGGTTGAGGCATTAAATGTTCAAGGCTTACGCTCGGCTTCTACCAACGAACCGACCATTGTTGTGTTTGTTGGCATGCTGGTCAGTCTATTTTCATGTGAATTAGTGTACTTGCCCAAAGAAATGCAGTTTGTCTGCATGGCAAGGACATGTAGAACTTGCAAAAATATAAACGGTATATTTTTTAAATGGTTCAATGTCACAGGGTATGCTAGCAGACAAGTATACATCAACTGCGGCAAGACTTTGATGACGCGGAACCGTCAACATGTTTGTCTGACCTCCTCGGCGAAGTCCGCTCCATGATCACCTCCCAGCGAGACCGAGCGCGCTTCACCGCCGTTTGTAAGTCATGTCTACGCGAGAGATAAAGAATAAAGATATGCATCATGTAGTGCTTAATGATCTTGATTTACCTTGTTGTTCCAAAGGACTGATTCTACGGGATAGATAAATAATAAAGATATGCATCATGTAGTCCTTACGCAAAAATTGCCATGAAGGTTTTAGTTCATCTTTGGGGAGCCTATTGAAACAAAAGGTAACCAGTTGCACTAGCGAATAGTAATCTGAAAAGATACCTAGATGTTCTCATGGCAAGTCAACATAAGCTACCTTGTTATCCTTTTTCGATAATCAAAAAATGAAGTATTTGGAGAGCCCATGTCTGATTAGGTTTGCTTCTTGAGTTTTCGGAGATCCCATGTCTGATTAGGTTGGTTTCTTCTGTTTTCGATTGGTTTACTTGTTTGCATAGGGAGGGAAAAGGAGTTAAGAGAAAAAGAGAAGGCTCAGCACCTCTATTTGCATGTCAAATCTGAAGTAGAGAGCTATCTGAAGGAGAAGAGAGAGAAGGATCCCTACAGGAGTACACTGACCGGTCTTCTATATCAGGCAGGAAATGGTTCTGATGCAGAAATACCCACATTTGAACCCGCAAGCTGAGATGATCATTTTGTCATTAGTTAAGATCCAAACCAATTGTTTATATTGTTCATGTTAAATCTTTTATATACAATAGTTGTTTTTATTAATTTTACCTCAAATTAATTGCAGTTTATTCAAATTAGAAAAGTCAATAAATATTAAAAACTAAGTTCAGAACTGTAAATTTCTATGTGATGAACATTCAATGGATTTACTAACCTAGGCAGGGGCTCTCATTCCAAACGGTGACTGAGTGAAGGACCAGAAATTTTTCCAGTCACTAAATGTTCTTTTGTCAATATCTACCAGTATATTGTGCTAAAGGCCAACAAAAGAAACTAAGCACACAGTGGTTATGCGATAGCTATTTTTTGCATAATATTGACATATGGAATCTCTGTTAGCTGGAATATGCAACATAATGGAATGGTAATAGCAGATATGATACCATCAACTCCAATAATTTTTTCATTAAGAATCATGTCTATCAACTCAAATAAATTTTGCATTAAGCATCATGTCTTCTCTGTAGCAATCTGGATTTGTCTTCTTGTGCTTATTTGCCTAAAACACAGTAAATTTGCAATGCTAATTGAAGAAACAGACTGCCATGGGAAGTTAAACAAATTTGTCACGGTCTACATAGTAGGGTCATGGCAAAGTCACTACCTAAATATCATGGCAGATTTGCCATGGTCTACATGGTAGGGTCATGGCAAGGTCACTACCTAATATATGTCATGTTTGAGTAAACAACTTTTATGAATTTTTCCAGGTCAATGTGTCAAACATGTGTCGTGTCACTTTACAAAAAATTCATATCCGCAAATGCCAATTTCCCTAAAAATGCAGCATTTGAGTAGACAAAAAATTCTGAATTTTTTCATAGGATTTTTCAAAAAAAAAATACCACCCCACCTTACAAAAATTGCCACATTATTTAGAACAATTCTCTAATTTTGAGATGGCCTACTACTAACATTTTCAGAATTTTGCCATGTGTTAGATAACATGGCAAACTTGTATAAGAAAACAGGGATACACACGGCAAACTTTAACCAATTTGTCCTATAGAAAATTGCCATTCATCGGTCAAGCTCCACTTCGGGCATGTATCAATGGAAACAAACAAAGTTTACTAGGATTTGTGATGGGGGATGAGTAGACACGGGAGCGCATACACAATGAAAGGATTGCTAAAAAAAATTCAATCTGCGGGACACTGGATGGCAAATGAAAATAAAAGGAAGCACATATGATGAGACGAGGAGGCAAGCCTTGTAGTTTATGGGCATCTGCCTTGTAGTGTAGGGGCATCTGGCTGTTCCCCAGGCCCTTGTACTTGGTGTGGTCGCCGCGTTGGCGCCCCTGACGCTCCAGCCAGCGCGCACACGAACGAGTCGCTACTGCCACCTGAGGATATGGTGGCTGATTCCAGCGAGGACCAATAGCAGCCACAACACTAGCTGACCAACCCGCTGTGCTCGCTCAGCCTGAAATTTCCAATTACGACGACCAGGATAGCGGCTTGGCTTGCCCTGCACCCTTGGTTCCCGTCCTCGGTGGGGCCGGAGCGTGGTCATCGATTCTTCGCCTCACCAGTACAAGGACCCAAAGGGTGACCATGTGCCCCTCTGTGAGTTCAAGAACAAGGCGGCTCTGATATTTTCGACGTGGACCTCCTTGCGCAGGCGCACGCTGTCGGCCACTGATGCCGAGCGGCCTACACGCGCCTATCCCTGCCGCCGCGCGTCGAATCGAGACCAGCCATTGTTGTCACTGGTCCTCCGTGGCCGCCGTTGTCGCTTTGAGTGGAAGGCGGACAAGCTGCGCGTAGCTTGAGTAGGTCAAGCTCTGGGGATGTGTGCTGACGTCGGACGCCGGAAGCAGCTCCCCCGCGCCGCGAGACCCGCCATCGCCGCCGCGAGCAGATCGGTGTTGCCGCGACATCTCGTTTGACTCTCTATCACTGGAATGGAAAAGAGTAGGGGTTGGGCGAGTGGGTGAGGGGGAGCTGCATAGAAAACGGGCGTCTGCGTGGTTAGTTGTAGGTCGCAAACATTTTCACAAGCTGATGTGTCAACAAGCGAGCATCAAGATTTGTGCGTGTCATCAGACGGCGGTAGACCATCTATGCATGTATCAACTAGATGCACATTTTCCTTGTATAAACTACTTTACCATCGATTAAGTCTTAAACAACTTACCAGATATTACAAAAGAAACTAAATAGTTGATTAATCCATGTGGCGCGGCATGCCGCCGCGCACTACCCGCTAGTAGGTTCTATTTTGAGATGCAACCTTTTTATTAATAACTATATGAAATATATACTGCCCTGGTTGAATACTTGGGAAATTCCATCTTTAGTGTACATTCGATCCCATAGATGGCGCAAATTTATTTCATTTTAGATGCAATCTCTTTTCTAATAACTATGACTATATGTTGTCCTTGTTGAATACTTGCAAAATTTTATTTTTAGTGTGGTCGATCCCAGTTGGGAAATTCTACTTTTAGTGTGGATTCGGTCCCATAGGTGGCGCAGATTTATTTCATTTTTCGCACAAAAAAGAAATCATTTTGAGATACAATATTTTTTTAATAACTATGAGTATACTGGCCTGGTTGAATACTTGGGAAATTCTATTTTTAGTGTGGATTCGATCCCCATGGTTGGCGTAAATTTATTTCATTTTGTGACGCAATTGCTTTATTAATAACTATGAATGTATAATATATTGGTGCGGTTGAATATTTGGGAAAATCTATTTTTAGTTTGTTTGATCCCACAGTCAACGCCAATTTATTTGATCCAATAGTTTCAACAACCCCTGAAAAAAAGGAACATACTAGATTGAAGCATACTCGTCTTACACAATATCCGTGTGGGACCGGCTAGAGATCAATCAACTGAAAACGAAATTCGCGTCAGTCAACTGACCCAAGTTTGTTTCAGTCGATTTGCTCCAAGTGGGAATGGAGGGACAAAGCGATGTATGAGTTGATCCTGATATTTCATCCATGCATGATCTGTAGTGCTGCTCAGGCTGGTCGTAATGGGAATATCATCAGTGGTATTATGCATGCCAACTAAAAATTTTAGATGATGTGGCACATAATTCATTCTTACACCTATGCACCGAAATTGCACTTTATCATAATATGCAAAAATAATCATATAATTATGAAATTTTGGCACATATTATACATTATTTGTTATTATACATTATTTGTTTATACATAATTACACTTAGCCAAAAACCCACAAAAACAAAAAAATAAACAATAATGGAAAGAAAGAAGGAAAAATAAAAACACATAGAAACATAAAACAGAAATAAAAATGCAAAAATACCCACAAAATAAAGAATTAAATTTCCTAAGGAAGAATGAATTAGTTGCATTAATATTACCATTTGTGCTTTTTATATGTATGCAAGAATAAGCACTGACAGAATTTGCACGAAATATACATAAAAAATAAGTTTTTAAAAAAATATATGCAAGAATAAGCATATAAAAGTGGAGCTTTTGCCAAAACAAAATCTAAGAACGAATGAGTATTTGAGTCGGTATTAACCTTAATGTAGAATGAAAATCAAGTAAAGACTAAAACAATATCAAAATAATAATTTTTCTGAAAAATAAGAAATTTAGTGGCGTTGGTATTTCCATTAAGAAGAGAGAAAATAAAAAAAACTTGCGCACAACTTTGCACCAAAATGCACTTATCGTAATATAAAAAAAATCATATAATAATGAAATTTTGGTACATATTATATAGTATTTGTATGTAGATAATTACACTCATCCATAAACCCATAAAAAATAACCAATAAAGAAAAGGAAAAAAGAAAAACGCGACTCAGAGAAGCAAAAATGAGCCCAAGAAGCAATTCGACTGACCCAAAATAAGGGTCAATCGATTCCACACAGCCCAACTCACTACCAAAATGACACAAAAAAATAGCACACATATCAAAGCAGAATCGAACAGCCACAAAATCGATTGACCCAAAAAGAAATTTTAGTTGACTGATATATAGCTAAAGTGATTCCATGTAGCACATTTGACACACAATCATGATGGATTCTTGCCATGGTTGGAGCAAATTTATTTCACTTTAAGATGTAATATATTTTCTAATAACTATGAGTATATAATGTCCTTGTTGAATACTTGGAAAATTCTATTTTTAGTGTGGTCTATCTCCATTGGGAAATGCTATTTTTAGTGTGGATTCGATCCCCATGGTTGGCCCGGGTTTATTTCATTTTTCATAAAAAAAATCATTTTGAGATGCAATCTCTTTTTTAATAACTATGAATATACTGGCCTCGTTGAATACTTGGGAAATTCTATTTTCAGTGTGGAT